ATGCAACACATAATAACACACAACAGCATATAATAACATACAGCACATTCATAATAAAAACAGCACACGCATAGTAATATACAACAACACACATACACATCCAAGAACACGCATACACGTCCAACAACACACATCACCATCAACTGACGCAAACAATGTGACAGCAAATATAACCTGTATGACAGAGTTGGTAGAAAGAACATCGTACCACCTCCGCCAGACCAGAAGATCATCATTGACAAGTTGGCTCTGTACGTTGCTCGCAATGGTCCAGAATTTGAAGAGGTCGTCAAGAAGAGGAATGACGCCAGGCTGGTTTGGTGTGGTGTGGGGCTGTGTTTTTGTTGTTTGTGTGTTGTTGGTGGAATGTATTGTTGAATGAGTTGTCGTTGTTGAATGTGTTGTTAGATATGTTGTTGTTTGTGTGTTGTTGGTTGAATGTATTGTTTGAATGAGTTGTCGTTGGTGTTGTTGAATGTGTTGTTAGATATGTTGTTGTTCGTGTTTTGCTGGCTCTGTGAATGTGATGCTGTCCCCACTGTACTTGCTATGCCTGTTGTATGATGGGTATTATTTGTTTCTATTATGTGTTTCTTGTTACTATGTGCTATTGTGACAGTGCATTGTCGTTTGAATTGTAATGCTTGGAGGTATGGATGGACCACGGAACACAAAAAACTAACGGTCTATGTGTGTGTGTGTTTTAAAAACTCTGCAACAGATTTGATTTCCTGTACCGGCACCACATCAGCCACAACTATTACATCTTCAGGAGGGATCTCTACTTTGAGGTTCGAAGGATGCTTCTGTTTCTTCTTCACATTTCATCGTGTTTCGTGAGATTATGATGTTATATTTTCATTGTCGCCGTCAGTGTTGAGTTCGTTTAGTTAGCGAGAGGTGAGGTTATGCATGTGCTGTGACTTGCTATGAAACCTATCCACTGCTGATGTGGGAGAGGCTGAAAAGTTGAAAATAAATTTTAAAAATTTATACCGTGAAGATATTTTCTTTAGAAGTTCCCAACAGCAACAAGCCATACTCTCCTCAGTTTGTTTATATCACCAAAGACAGTTTGGCTTAGTGAGGTTGCTTAAATGACGGTGTTGATGGTAACATTATAACACTAAATTGCATTAGGAGCTGAAGAAAGACGCGCGTGACATCAGTGCAATGTTGTCAACAACAACATCAACAACAACTGCAACAACAACTGCAGCAACGACTGCAACAACAACATTGAGCGCGATGGCAGACGAATCACCCCTGATAAAAAGTTAGATTTATCACTTGTTATCCACCACCGCCATCTTCATCATTCTCAATTTTTTCACCACAAACGTCTTCATCATCATCACCAGCTTCATCACCAACCTCACTATCATCACCATCATCGCCACCACCACCATCATCCTCTCTCGCCACCATCATCATCACCGGTTTCATCACCAACCTCACTATAATCATCACCATCATCATCCTCTCTCGCCACCATCATCATCACCAGGCATCAGTTTCAGTATAAAGTCGAAAGAGGACAGCCAGCAACTGAGCAGCAAGAAGGCAGCACTCCATCACAGCAACTGGGAAGATGATGATGATGATGAAGAGGAGGAGGGTGCTGATGATGATGATGATGATGGTGGTGGTAAAACAGTCGGAGATGATGATGGTGTTAAGGATGCTAACGGTATGTGCGTTTAATTATTGCTACATTTTAATATTAATAATAATAATAATATTATTATTATTATTATTATTATCATAATTATTAATTCGCCTTGTTTTTACTATTTTATTTATTATTTGTTTTATTTTTTTTTAATTTTTTGCAACAACAACACATCAACAACATCAGGAAAACAATAATAACAACAACACGTCGACAGCCACACATTAATAATAACAACAACAACACAACAACACATCAGCAACACAATAATAATAATAATAATAATGATGATGATGATGATAATGATGATGATGATGATAATCAACAACAACACATCAACAACAACATCAACAACAGGTCAACCAACAAGTGCAACAGTCAACAGCATGTCAACATTAAACAACAACAACAACAAATTGATGAGAGAATCGAGGAAGAGGAAGTCGAACGTAGATGTGGATGACTCCAGCAACAACAACATAAACAACAACAACAATGTCGTTGGTGGAGGCGGTATCAGGAGTGCCATCAACAACTGTGAAAAGATATCGAGTAAGTTTTTGCTGCTTCGTCACTCATATTTATGAATCGGTGAATCTCTTCTTTCGTCTGCCTACCATCATTCGTGTGTCCTTTCAATCAAGACATTTAAGCTGTAAGATATTTTCCAACACAATTCAAATCTTCATAATGATTAAAAGAAAGATTAGAAAAATTAATCCTATTGTGTTTTTTTCTTTCTTTGATTCGTTCACTTTATTGTCCTTCTCATTCTTTTTTTTAGTGCGGTTGTGGCTGAAATTAAAGTTTAATTTTTTGTGGAATATTGTTCGTAGCCTCTCTATAATATAAAGTCCTCTCTAGGTGACATTTCACAATCTTCAATAGTTTTTTTTCTGCATTTTGTTTATTTCGAAGTTTTCTGATGATCTGATGAATCATTTTTTTCTCTCCAAGGACCTTCATTCTTCATTGGCGACGACGACGATGATGATGACGATAACAACAGATATAAAAAAAAGTTGAAAAAACTACAATCAACAACAACAACCTCCTTCTTGCCGGCCACAACTGCAATCAGCTATGGGTCAAAATACGCAACAGGAACATCATCATCAACAACAACAACAACATCCTCGATGATTGGACCTCTGTCAAGACCGCTTTCAACGACATCAACAACGACACCTTCAACAAAATCGTCCACAACATCGTCAGCAACAACAACAACAACAATTATGGTTGGTCCACTCCCGAAACCGCCTTCAACAAAATCGTCAGCCACAACAACCAGGACAACGACGGCAACAACATCGCCAATGATCGGTCCCATGCCGAGACGTTCCCCGCTGGCGTCAGCAACATTTCACTCACATCCGTCAACATTATTGTCATCATCATCATCATCGTCGACTACAACGACAACGTTATCGGCTCCAGTGGCCAATCCATCGCTGACGGCATTGATATCTTTGTCGAAACATTCATCATCGTCCCTACCCAGGAACACGTCATCAAGGTCGGTTGCCTGTTTTAATTATTATCTAGCAACTTCTATCATTCTTCAGCGGGAACATCTTCACAATTTGTTATATTATATTATTATTATATTATATTATTATGTTATATTTAGTTGTTATAATATGTTATTTATGTTTCATTATTATATATTATTATATTATTACTTACTATTTTACTTTATCGTCAACATTTTTTAATGTTGTTATTTTTTATTTTAATTAATTTTATATTTTTTAATTTAATTTTAATTTTATTATTATCTCAATTATTTTGTTTTGTTTTGTAATTATTTGCGGCTCGTTGGTACCATCTCAGAAATGTCTCTCGCGCGAGAAGGCGGTCACGTTCAACATCGAGGCCAAGGAAGAGGTCAAGAACTAGGTCAAGGTCAAGGTCAAAAGAAAAAAGGTCGAAACACAAATCTTCTAAAAAGGCTAGGAGGAGATCCAGATCAAAAACTCCATCGAGGTTCTGATGATGACGACGACGGTGGTGATGATGATGATGATAGTGGTGATGAGAGGGGTGGTGATGATGACGATGATGAGCGGTATGGCAATGATGATGATTATGGTTATGGTTATTATTAAAAATATTAGGCGATGTTGTTTGCATTGATTTGATGCTGATGACGTTTGGCGTGGTGACGGTCCGCACCACTTGGCGAGTTGATGTTGAAGACTGCAAGCGCTGGAGTGTGGGATGGATGGCTAAAAACTTCAAAACGATGCTGTTAATTATTAGTGAAGTGTGAAGTGGTTGCAACGTTCACGAATTGTTTCCAGGCAAGAACCAAGCAGGAAGCACAAGAGTTCGAAATCACGTAAAACATCATCATCCTCATCAGTGCACAAGTTCGTTTTAGACTTATGTTTAGTTGAGAGTAAACTGGTACTATTATTGTTTATCAATTCAGTAAATACGTTTTGAAGTAAGAAATAGGCAGCCTCCATTGATGTTCACTAGTTGCTTCTGTTGAATATGATCTCTCGGAGGCGATTTATTTATTTTAGCTTAATTAATTGAGTTTATTTCTATTTCGCTTAATAGCTCTTTCATGTTTGTTTCCAGATCTAAACACAGTCACCATCATCACCATCGTCATCGCCATCGCCATGATCCAGCCGAGCAGTTAGTTTCAATCCACCCCGCCATATAATTTCAGCATGTTGTGCTCTGTGTAGTTGTTCATATTGTTTTCTAATCAGCATTGCTGAGATGTCAAAATTTTGTCGACATTTTATCGGATTATTTTATTATTGCTGTCTAAATAGTGCACATAAATAAACGCATTTGCAGAATAGTGTTGGATCTGACTGATGAAACAGCCGATGTTGTCGACCTAACCATAGATTGAATAGTCCTGCCTTCCAGTTGTTATTTCTCATTTGTCCACATACGACGTACCCCTGCAATGTAAAATGTGTGCACGAATGTGCGCCTGTGTTTGAACGATGAATGTAAATAATAATCTTCAAGTTGGGCTTTTTATGTTCCTTCTTTCAAATGTCATTATTAAGCCACATTGCTACAATCAAAATTATTTTGCAATTATGTCATGAATTTTACAGACCGAAATAAAATATTCCTTATGCGTGATGTTGTCTTTTGTGTCACAACAAAATCATAAAAAACTTTACTTATGTATACATAATAGTTTTTAATAAAAATAATGAGTAACTAATTATTGACGACCGGTTCGAATAGAAAACCAAAAAAACGTTTTAGAGTATCGTCTGTGATAGAGGCTTGCAGGGGTTGAGTTGGATGAAAGATTCTTCCAGTTGGAGTCTGAGGTTCAGTTCGGTTTGAAGCTCAACAGAGGACAACAAGTTTGCAGTTTGTTTATTGATTTGGGTCAGAAAGGATTTTCGAAACACGTTACAGAGACGAGACTCTTCCATGAGAATTGTGTTGGACTCTAAAATACTCAAAAAAGTTGGATGCCTTGAACTTATCAAGTTATAGAGTTGTTTGGAACAATGGACGGGGCTGCTTTCATTTCACAACTTGGTTTACAGAAACGTGATTTAAGATAATTAAACTAGATATTATTGAAAACGGCCGATTGGAAAAATAAAATGCGAAATATTTTTAGAGTGAAATTTGGGGTATGTTTGAGATTGGGAATATGGGAATGGTCGGGAGTGTTACACTTGTTTGGGGTGTTAAGGTACCTGACTGAAGTGGCTGAACAAACTTTTTGATGAGATGATGATCAAAGATAGTTGAAGACAGACAAGCGTTAAAATAGAAATGCGAGATAGGTTAGGAAAATTGCGAAAGCGTGTCACGGCTTTTGAGCTTAAATCAAGTTGCGGTTTAATTCGAAAGGAATAACACATTTCAGTAAAGAAAAGTGTTTGAAATATTATGTTTGAAAGCCATGTTATAAATTTGGATAATTTTGAACATATTTGTGGTTGAGAAACTTATCGGGAAAACACCAGAAAAGAAGCCAGAACGGATTTGATAAAAATAAAATTTAATTAAAAAAAAGTGAAATATGAAATCTGAATAAAATGAAATGTGCTGTGCATACGAAGTTCGGGAGAGCAAATTATTATTATTACTCACTCTAATGACATTCCTCAGAGGATTCGGATCCAGTAAAATGACAAATACGTTAAAACACTTCAGTTCATGCAGATGCAAATACAAAAGTTCAAGTTGATAGTGAAATGATAGTGGTCGGCATTTGTTTTTTCAAATTTAATAAGTTTTTATTTTTGATTTTGTTGGTATTTGTTCTTTTCATTTGTTATAACTATTTTTTCTGGTTTTGCTATAATTATTAAAATAAAATAAAAATAGTAAAAGTTCTGATCAAAACCTTAAGATCAAAGTGAAATTGTTAAGTGGTTAACGATTGTTTGTGAAGAATCCATTCATTTAAAATGCCCGTTGACATTTTTACGAAAATTTGAATTGCAGATTGCTCTTATAAGAGCAATCTGCAATTCAAATTTAAATATATTTACTTGCCGACATAAATTTGAAATTACGTGAAAACACGCATTTTAAATTTAAAATGTATTTCGAAACTTTGTTCGTCTCGTTAACGTTGTTTCAAGCTTCGGTAGCGCAGGAATGTGTGCTGCGATCCTTGGTTATGGCAGTCCCACTGGAAAGTTCAAATAAAACAAATGATTGCTTGATAAAACACGCCTGCGCAACGACAGACGACAACAACGTCATCAGCATAGCGACCAGTCTGTACGACGTTCAGTATGAAAATCAGTGGAACAACTACAGCGACACCATGCTCGCCAAATGTGCCTGGTCCTGCAGAACTGTCGACCAGTGCGTTGGGTTCAACTTCAGAAACAGCAGGACAGCAAGCGGTGATGGCGTGTTCTGCCACTTGTTACTCACTCGACCTATGCTGTACCTTTCCAGGGATGACTGCGTTTACTACCAGGTTTAATCCAGCGTTTGTTATTTTCTCACGCATTCTAATCAGTGATTTTAATTATTTTTTAAAATTATTGATTTCAGGAAACTAGCAAAAAAAGAATAGGTTTGTTGAATACTTAAACGTAATTATCATTGAAATAAGAATTTTGAAATAAACTTGAAAAATGCAAACATGACATGGGGACAGGTTCTGATCTGTTCATTGTGAACTCCAGCTCCATAAAGAATGTTACTGATTATTTGAGAACTGTAGATAATTTAATAAAGGTTATCATCGTTTTGTTTTAAACATATTTATTCTAAATTTTAAAAAATAATGAATATATAAAATTGTCTCACTAACAGTTCAGAAAGTTGTCTACATGCACTGATGAAAGTTAGTAGAACAAAAATCTAAATGTTTTAAAGACATTAATAAACTATTTAAGCGAATGTATTTGCTCAAGAAATTAAACTATTTGTAAATATGCAATATAAAATTGAAAAAATGTAAGAATGATCAAAATTCCAGATGACCAAACGGCGCGCCGTGTTAAGTGCTCGGAATTGAAATTTTTTAACAGCTCAAACGTGAGTACGGTGAAATATATTTTAAATTACAAATGAGTTTAAGCGTTAACGTTGACTGGTGCCAATCTGCTGGCAGGTTGAAGAACGATGCAGCAGTTACTTGGGAAACAGCTACTGGACCGTGAGTTTTCAAAAAATATTCACCAATTAAGTTCAACGCTTGAAGTTTAAGCTTATCTGATATCTGATACGTGATGTTCTTGTTTTGTACAGCCAATCCAACGACGCATGGATGGTTCAATTAATTTCTATAGAAACTGGACAGACTATCAGTTGGGATTTGGCAACAAAGGAGGAGAATTCTGGATCGGTAATACTATTTTGTTAAATTCGAGGTCATGATGAAAAAACTAACGGGGGATTTTTTCATAGGAAACGAAAAACTTTACCAAATGACGACGAAGGACAATTACAAGTTACTCGTGGTCATGGAAGATTTCAACAATGTTGTACGATGTGCACTCTATGATACGTTCAAAGTTGATTCATCTTCATCCTATTATACACTAACAATTGGAGGCTACTCTGGAGATGCAGGTCTTGTTAGCAAACAACAACAACCATTGAATGTCTCATTTATTCATTTAGTCATTTATTTTATTGCTGCGTTTTAATTTTAGGTCCTGCTTTGCAGAACGATCAATACTTCAGTACTTTTGATTACGGCGGAAATGAAAACCTTGCAATATTATTCAAAGGAGGATGGTGGTACCCAAGCGAACCTTCTACAAATTTGAATGCTGTCTACTCAATTGGACATCAAGAACCTCCTTATGGAATCTATTGGTCCACTTTTAATGTCACCTTAAACACTCTTAAGTTTACTGAAATGAAAATTGCTATAGTTTGAAAAATTGTTTAATTAGGAATTCTTCCAGGTTCACATTTGCTAACTCATCAATTGTATTTAATAGAATTTTTTAAATGGAAATTTTTGTGAATGTAATGAAGTAGAGAGTATGGTGAACTGCTGGAACTGCTAGAAATCATTTGATGCATATATCCATTCTCCTGTTGTTTCATCAAACTTTCACAGTGCATTCAATGTTGCTTTAGTTTTGCTTATCAGTCATACATTTCGATTAAAACATATCTACTCACCCTACACATTAGGTGCGGGAAGATATGTGCGGGGAAATAAATAATTAGCAAATAAATACAATTATTTGTCCCATTACACTAGCGTAGAAATTAACTTTATTTTCAAATAAATCGAAAAATTCTGTAATTTGACCAGCTTGAAAATCAAATAAATTTGCAAATAAAATTTTTCGTTCAAAATGTGCTTCTTGTTTTAAAACTATTCACAAGTATGGTGTTTTTCTGAGTTTCTTTTTCAAATTGGGAGTTATTTTTTAAAAGCAAAATCAGATTTCATATTCTTATAAATATGTTGACTGCACTGGGCGATCGATTTCAAATGGGGTATGAGTAACATGGGTAGAATATGATTCTCTTTTTATTAAAAATGCTAAATAAACTCTTGAAAGCTGAAAAGCTATTTTGTTTTATTTTTTGATGCGGGCTTCTGCTTCTATAATTTTGTTCTCTCTATAGCAAATCCAAAGTGTGATGAAACGGGGTACATGATAGTTGGAGGAAGTTGGAAAAGCTTTTCTGGCGTGGAATAATAAATTTCTACTGAACTGTTCAGGTTCGGCATTTTTTTAACGGTACATACATGAAATAAATATAGGTACCGTTTTTAAAAAACTGAAGATATTATTAGACCGAGGTTCATTTAAAGTGTATCTCCCAAGCGTCAAGGTTTTTTTTCACTTTCCATATAATCACGACTTTTAATATATATATATTAGTTTATTTCAGATAACACATTCTCTGCCCACCAACATTTTCTAATTAAATCCTTGCTTATTAAAATAGAAAAACTAAGCACTTTCAACCTTCATCTGCCCATCCTTTTGATTATCTTACTTCGAGATTCAGTTATTTTTGTTAGCATTATTTGTTAGCCATTTATAAAACATTAAAATAATTAAATTCTTGATCGTCGTTAGCAGAAAGAGGTTTGCAAAAATTGTGAGTTGTTTGGTGAAGCTAGGTACAACATAAATCAAAATCATTCTTTTTAAATACAGTTTATTGTAAATTAATTAAAAAACTTCACGTTCTATTGTACATTCACACGACGGCCATTTTCATTTCAGTGAATTTAAGAGAATATTGGTTGCCCTGGAATGTGGACCAGCTGACTCCGACGCCGATGCTTTCCAGGTTGCCTCGCAAGTAAAGACCATTAAGATTGGAATGGTGGCAGTTCATGTACCACCAGCCCCCCTTGAAGTACGCCGCACAATTCTCGTTGTTCGTGTCGTGATCTGCATCGTAGGTGCTGAACTGGCCGCTGTCATGCTGGCTCAAGGAGTCGCCTGGTTGTGTAATTTCAATCATTTAATTTTTTTGGGTGCTATCGTTTCTTCCTGTTTGGTTTCAAATTTCTTTTCATGAAAATGATTTTTTTTGTATAAATATATTATAAATTTAACACGATCATGTTGCAATGTTTAAGTTGAGCAACAACACCTGCATCTCCTGAGTAGCCTCCAACAGTCAGTTTGTAATTGGACTCCGGGGGACCAACGCTGAAAGTGCTGTACAACGCACAGCGTACAACACTTTCAAAATCTTCCAGAACCACGAGTAATTTGTACTTGTTTTTGGACGTTAATTCGTAAAGCCTATCATTGCCTGGAAAATTGAAAAACAATTTACTAGCAAAAAAATTAAAAAAAATGCTACGAGGCGTTACCGATCCAGAATTCTCCCCTTTCGTTGCCAAACCCCATCCGATAATCCGTCCAGTTCCTAAAAAAGTTCATCGTTCCGTCCATACGTCTTTGGATTGGCTGTACAATGGTGGGATGTTTTTTAAAGAGTTCAGAGTAAAACTGATATCACTTATTTAAATGTATTTAAATATTTGTGCAGTGGTGTATGCACTTACTGTCCAAAAAGTGCTGCTCTTTAAATAACTTCCGCAACGTTCAACTGTCTGCACCTACAAAATTATTCAATTTAGTTAGATATATTCGTTAGATCTCAAAACAAAAAAAAATGTCAAAAATTACTTTCTCATTCACACTTCCGAATTGGAAAAACTTCAATTTGGAGCATCTGGGTCTGCGAACACTCTGATCAACTGAAAGACAAAACGGCCGTCACCAGATTTGCAGATGTTTTAAATAAGATAATCGCTTACTTTCATTTTGACAAGCATGCAAATTCCTGAACTTGTTTCGAATGTTGTTTCATTATTAAATTTGAAACTTTTGAATAAAGTTTAATATAGCAACAATGGTAAATAGGCTCACTTTCATTAAGTTGTCGACCGTTTTCAAATAGTTCCTAATTTTATTTACCATTTCTTCATCAGTGTTCGATACAGATGTTATTGCAAATTGATTCTCTACTAAATTTAAAAAAAGTTAAATTTTGTCAATATTTTTACATTTTGGTGAAAATTTTAATTTAGACGCTCAAACATAAAACGCTAAAAATCCAATTTAAATATTATTCCAAATATCGACCTTTGCTGGAAAATAATTTTATGTGATTTAATTCTATAAAAATTGTTGAAATTTAACAATTTAAAAGTAAACAAACTACGACAAATTTTAGTTGAATTTACTATAAATTTAAAAAAAACTAACCTGTGATGTTTCTGTTAATTTCCTGAAATAAAAATTAAAATATAAGTTGAGAGCCAATTTGAAATTGTTAGCAACACCTGGTAGTAAACGCAGTCATCGTTGGAAAGGTACAAAATCGGATGTGTCAGGAACAAGTGGCAGAACGAGTCATCACCGCTTGCTGTCCTGCTGTTTCTGAAGTTGAACCCAGCGCACTGGTCGACAGTTCTGCAGGACCAGGCACATTTGGCGAGCATGGTGTCGCTGTAGTTGTTCCATTGATTTTCATACTGAATGTCGTACAGACTGGTCGCTATGCTGATGACGTTGTTGTCGTCTGTCGTTGCGCAGGCGTGTCTTATGTGGCAGTCGTTTGATTCATTTGTATTATCCAGTGGGACCGCAAAGACGAATGATCTCACCACACATCCCTCTGCCGCTGGCACTTGCCAAATTAAAATTAAAATGATTTTTAGGAACATCGCAAACTTTAAATTCATACCTCAAAACAGTTAACTTGTATTAAAAATTATTCACCAAGAGAAATATTATTCATTTAGAATAATATAAACAAAAACTTCAATGAAGGAAGATGAGTGTTAAAAATGTCAACAGTTCATTCAAATAACGTACTTTAATGTTGTCGGTTCAGCGCAATCTCAACAATGTCAACCTTTAAAAACATTTTTGCATTAAATTCTTAAACAATTTTTAAACAATTTCAATAGTTCAGTTTTTGGCGAACGTCACTAACAAAATGAAATTAACATTCTGAAAATGTTATCTAACTTTTGTTTACAAAAAAATTGTTTGTCTGAAAAGTCTGTTACTAAAAAAATATAAAGATGATTGTCATTATGTGATTTGTGACATCTTTCATTGTAAATTTTAGTTTAGCTTTTGGGTGTTCATTTTTAATGCAATTGATTTCAATTATTCTGGCATTTGTAATCATTTTCAACTTAATTCTTGCTTCATTGTTTCTATTTTTTGTTTATTAACTTCTTATGAAGTAATGGTTTCATGGTTTTTTTAATAAGTGAAGACTATCATCATTTAGATAATTAATTGAAAATCTAAGACTAGTTATGAGCCAGCCATTATAGATTTGTAAAAAGACTTTAAATTAATTTTTTTTTTGGTCTTAAACAAGATGCCAAAAACTTTCATAATTGTAGTTCTATTTTCTAAACATTCATTTAAAAACCAATCTTAAAATGAGCAGAGATTGAAAAGGATCAAACTTCGAGAGGTTAATTATTATCCGCGTAAACTCCGTCATTTCCATTTGATATTAAAATAGAACTTTTATAATGAATGATTAATAAGAAATACGCGTTTTTTTTTACAATTTTAGGTATAAATTTCTTGCGTGAATCTGAAATCTCACGATCCATATTTCTAAAAGCAACATGTCGATTAAGCTTGTAGTTATTTTATTTACGCAGTTTCAAGTCTCAGTAACTGATGAATGTTCATTGCGGTCAGCACTCCTAGCAGTCCCTCGAAACAATCCCAACAACCCTAACGAATGCTCCATCAAACTCGCGTGTGCAGCTTCTGGCGACAAAAACGTCGTTAACATTGTCGCCAGCGTCTACGACATTCAGTACAAAAACCAATGGAACAACTACAGCGAGACGATGCTCGTCAAATGCGCTTGGTCCTGCAGAACTTTGGATCAATGTGTTGGATTCAATTTCATAAATAGCAGAACTGCAGAAGAAAATGACACATTCTGTCAACTCTTCCTTTCTCAACCAATTCTATACAGTTCTAAGGACGACTGCATTTACTATATGGTTTGTTAAATATTTTCAATATGATTTGATGAGGTTATTTGTGAGAGCACGATATATTTCAAAGTTTTGTTAACCATTCAGTAGGATTTCTGACTGTTTAAAATATTTTGGCATTTTAAAGAGCGCATTCTGATATAATCATTAACAAACTGTAACTTGATATTTCAGGAAATGAGAAATGATTCTTCAAGTAACTTACTAAGTTTTTTTTTTTAATTTTTTCATAATTTGATTTAACTTCAAATAAGGTAAAAACAAATTTGTCCTGAGGAATATTTTCATCGATAGGAAACTTATTGATAAAGATATAATGGTTGCACTTGTTGTAAAATATTCGAAAATGTCAGACTTATTAAAGGTAAACTTACATTACGTAACTGTACAATATAGCTATTTTATTGACAGATTTAATTCAGTTTATTTAAATTTTTCAATATAAAACTGTTTACATTCCAGTATAGAAAACTACCTGCCTGCGAAGATCAAACTAAGTAAAAATTTAAGTTAAGTAAAATTTTCATGAATAAATAATCTATTAATCTTTTTAGATGATCAACTAGCACGCCTCACTCGTTGCTCGAACCTAAAATTATTCAACTATACGAAAGTTAGAACTATGAAACTCTCTTTTCGCCATAATGTTATAAATATAGGCCTATCCAGTTTTATTAATATTATACTATTTTTTCCATCAACCTCTTAACCAGAACGTGGAGCGTTGCACGAGCTATTTAGGAGATAGCTTTTGGACTGTAAGTTTGTAAACAATTCACAATTTTGAACAAAATCAAACTAGCAAAGTTATCATCAGTTAAAAATATTGGCAGCCAATTCAAAGGCGGATGGATGGTTCAATTAACTTCTACCGAAACTGGACGGAGTACCGAGAAGGCTTTGGATACAAAGGAGGAGAATTCTGGATTGGTAAATCAATCAATCAATCAATAAATCAATAAATAAATCAATCAATCAACCAGTCATTCAGTCAGTCAGTCAGTTAGTCATTCATTCAGTCAGTCAGTTAGTCAGTCAGTCAGTCATCTCAGTTAACAAATAAATTAACAAAAATTAACAAATCAGTCAATCAACTCAGTTAACAAATAAATTAACAAATCAGTCAATCAGTCATCTATTCGATTAATCATCTAATAAATTAACATGTTAGTTTATATGTAATCACTTGATGCTCAACAACGTTTTCGATAAACTTCGTAAGCGAATGGTCCTGATATCGGCTCTAAACTTTGTGACTGTGAAGGAAAAGATAAAATGTTCTACATAATTGGCCAGTAAAACAAAAGCGAAGTATATGTATTTGTACATTTGTACTTGCATGAAAAATATTTCACAAGAATGAAGAAAAATTAAGGACGATGCCAGCTTTAGAGGATTTAGAGTAGAACTTAAAAGAGTCTGTTACGCTAAACAGTTAACTACGATTTGCTTTGTCTAAGAAAGGTGCAACATTTTAGTTGAAAGGGAAAACCAGAGTTTTCAGCAAAATATGTTTCAAAACATGTTGGAATCAAAATTAAACCAAAACTGCGGGAGAGTTTTTAAATCTGTTAAAATAGTAAAAGAAAAAACAATAATAGATTATTTTCGACTTATTAAAACGAATTTTTCAATTCAAATTTAGAAAGTGCTAGCCCAAGATACATTATAAGTTACTCTAAAACACAATACAACACAAAAATAATTTACCAGGATGTTCACAGCTAAATTCAATTTATCATTTTTGCCTCTCCAGGGAACGATAGGCTTTACGAATTAACGTCCAAAAACAAGTACAAATTACTCGTGGTTCTGGAAGATTTTGAAAGTGTTGTACGCTGTGCGTTGTACAGCACTTTCAGCGTTGGTCCCCCGGAGTCCAATTACAAACTGACTGTTGGAGGCTACTCAGGAGATGCAGGTGTTGTAGGCTTGATTAAAATCAATTATTACTAAAATGTAAAATGTCGTATGCTGCTGAAGTAAAATAACCTTCCATTTCTTTAGGCGATTCTTTAGGCTCTCACATTGACAAGCAGTTCAGTACACATGATGCAGATCACACTGGCCCTAACAAGTGTACAGCACGTTTTAAAGGAGCCTGGTGGTACGGCAAGTGCCATCATTCCAACCTCAATGGCTTGTATTTAAGAGGTGCCCACGACACGTACGCTGACGGAGTCAACTGGTTCGCCTTCAGGGGTTATCATCATTCTCTCAAATTTACTGAAATGAAAATAGCTGCGGTTTGATTTTTCTAAATTTTTGTCTCAACAATGAAAATAAATTAACTCCTGAATATATTAGAAACTAGTATAATTATTCAATTTCGGGTATAACTTATTCAAACATTTGCACATATTCAAGTTTTGAACTTGAGATTTTTTCCTCAAAAGTCAAACTCTGTCAGCTGCAGATATTGTTACGTGGTATTAAACAAAAAAAAATTTAATTATAAAAAGTTTTAGTCCCATAAAGTAGAATCAGGGCCGGATTAGCCAAAAGACAAATGAGACAATTGTCTAGGGCCCGTAATTTCAAAAGAACAAGATATAAGCCCTATTTTTTTTTATTTATGTTAACGTCGACCTCGAAATTTTATTTAAATAGTTTCGCAACTGTTTTTATTATGTCTCGTCTGCATAATATCAAATCTTTCAGAACTGTCAAAAAAAAAAACAAAATAGCAGCTGTATTTTACAATAAAATCACTCAAAATCCTGGGTTTTGTAAACCATTCAATTTGAATAGAAAAAATATTAGTTACACTAAGTAGAAGTAAAATAAAGTAAAGTAAAATTTGAATATAAAAAAATTTGGTGACAATAAGAAGAAAGAAAAATAAAATGAAGTTTTTAACATAAAATTAAAATATAAATAAAATAATATAAAATATAATTTAATAATAGTTTTTAACAAAAATAAACATAAAAAACAAAAGAAAAATTTGCATACATTCAAAGCCAGCCATATCGTAGGAATCCATTCTTACTTACAGACATATAGCCATATAGGTATAAAGGGCAGCGTACATTCATTCCTTCAAAAGAGACATATAAAAATTAATGTGATTGAAGTAGAATTGTTGTAGATGTTGTCAACATCGTTGATTGCTGTATAGAAACTTGTAGGCCCGTGTTTAGGTCATTTCGACCAGTTACTGTTCAATCGGAATGAATTCGTTTATTATGAACAAACAATAAATTTGTTACATAATGGGGCATTCCAAAAGAGTAAATCTTAACTAAGCGGAGTCCCCAACCGGAATATTAAAACGAAGACAGAACAACAACAAAAACAACAATAATAATAACAAAAAATTGATGATATAGTGGCCGTTGGAAAATAATGATTTGGCTGGCCAATATTTATTTTTGTTTTTTGGTCAATTGTCAATTAATAAATTTTTTTCAGTTCATTGAAAAACTATTTGGTTGCTAAAGCTGCTAGACACAATTATGAATATGTTGTTTTAATTTTTCCTAATTTTAACAATATTAATATTAAGTTTAAATAACTTCTGTTCAATAATAAGACACAAAAACATTTTTATCGAAAAAACGAACTACAAACATATTAACGCCAAACATTCGGTAGAATTTATAGAATATTGTAAAAAATATATATATGTAATTTTAATCTATTTTTTAATCCTGCATTATTTACCTTGTCTTTTTTGATTTTTAATGTTTTTACATAAGCCTTATTGAATGTTAATATTTTTTTATTTGTTTTATAATTATTTTATTGTCTATTTTCTGGTTGCCGTTTTTATACGTGTTTAAAAACTTAACTTCCATTCTTTTCTCTTTTTTTATTAGTCTTTATTATTGTAGCTCTGTCATACGCAGAACCACTTACATTGTTACATATATATTTTCTATATATCTTTTATTATGTTCTTCATATCTTCGTCCATTGATTTGAAGCAGCCATCTTCGCCACAAAGGCTGTTTATCCTTTTCACACGACGTACACATGTATTTATGTGCAGGCGCAAGCACCGCATCATATACGCTGAGTATATGATAGCCATTGAGATGTTTGACTCAGCGAGCATTTGAACCACTGAACCATCTCGCCGGCCAGCATGCGACAACTTACGTCGTCTACCCATTTACCGACCTAGAAAAGATGGACGGTTGGGTTGGCCGGGGGTCGGCTACCCGGATGAACCTGTAGAAACTGCAGAATTCGAACCCGGGTCATGGGAGCGGAAGACGGACACGCTAACCACTCGGCCACGGTCTAGATTGCTTGTCACTTAGGGTGCACGCACATACTAATTAAGAGTTGCACTTTCTTGTGTATCCTTTTCATGTTGAGTCATCATCTATTTACGTAAATAATATTGATAAATAAAAATAATATAAAAATATGTGTGATGCGTTTATTCAGGCTCTGTTCGTGTGTTGCAGATTTTTTTGACAATTAGGGTGAATTAATATTAATGATAATTACGATTCTCCTTATATACAGTTGTTCAATTCACTGACGTTTTAAACTAGCAAGATTAGTTAAGCACAAAATGGGAATTTGAAAAAAGCATTATATATAAGCATCCCATTTATCACGTAGACCCTTCAGTTTTCCGAAACAGACTGACAATGTTTTCTGCTACTGCATCTAATTTGGCTTGCCTGGCTTGAACAACTTTGTTTTAATGACAAGGTTACATTGATAATTATCGACCGACCTCAGTGCTCCTGCTTTTATAATATGATTCCAACTTACCAGTCTTGTGACAGACAATACAATTCTAGGGAGACTGCTTTGTTGGATGTATCATCTATACCACGGGCGGGTCAAACTTTTTCCTGCGAGGGCCACATCGAAAACCATTTTACCTCTGGAGGGCTACACATGTACATTTCTCGACCCACATCAAACTATCCAAGCCACATTTGATGCAGCAGTAGTAGACCTTCGACTGGGGTGGGGGGAATTTGTTAAGATGTTCATTTGTGGCTGAAGACTTTTTTCGGTCATAATACCTGGCTGAGAACTTTTTTATTTGGTATTATATTTTTCTTTTTTTTCCAAATACGTAAAAGGACTCGCCGGCCGCATAAAACAAGCCGTAGTTTTCCCACTCCTGTTTTAACCCTGTTTTACACAATCTGACCATTATATAATATTTCAAAATATAATTTCATAATTTATTTCATAATTTACGAGGCAAATAATTTTATTATTTCATTTTATTATTTCATAATATTATTTCGTTATATTAATTTGCATATTTGTTATTTCATTTTACTAATTTGTATATTGTTTGAGCAAAAAATCACGTTCCGTTGGATTTGCATTTACGAAAAATAAATTCTTTTGATAAAAATCGATGTTTTATTTTTTCATCATTTACATAAACAAATTGACATCATCATCATCATCATCATCATCATCATCATCATAACAATCATCATAACAATTTGCATAACTATCATCGCTATCATCATTCTGACAAAAAAAATCATCAACTTTGTTTTCAAAAGTTCTAATTATCGCACAAAGTTGCGACAAAAAATATGACTATCCAAATTAAAACAATTTTTTTTCAAATACATATTATTATAAATAATATTTAAATTATATTAGAACAATTTGTTTCGATTAGATTAATAAAAACTGTGTTTCTGTAAAAAGTCAGCCAATTACCGCGAAGGTTAATAACAATCTCAAGTCTGCCAGTATATTTTGTAACATTGTCGCAATGTACCGGATCATTTTAACACAAATTTTCTTCGAATACATACTGTTATAATCGTCAAAATAATATTCGCTGGAGGGCTAGTGCCGCTACGAAGGCATACAGTTCGAGAAGAAGCTAGACCCTTCTGACGCGAGAAATCTGGGACTTTCGAGAAGCGTTGGTAGGACGGGCATATAAAGACATGTGAGATTTTGATTGGTTGTCTTGAATACTTGATATTAGAAAGCGATTGATGGTTAGTGTCGAAAGCGATGTTTGCTATTTGACTGTTTTTTTTGTATATTTATTCACTTGTAATGTTAATCAGCCAATCTATTTTATGTGATGCTGTCTTGATGTTTCACATTATTTCAAAATAAATTTGAATTTATTGTTGGCAATACATGTTTTGTTCATTATAATGTGTTTGTATCACCGCATTACAATGTATTCACATATATTATATTGAGCTTTCAGGTCAGCCAATTAGTCTGATCCGCTTTTACTGTCAATTTACAAACTCGTTAATATTTGGCATTTATTTGTAAAACGGTCAAAATTGATTAATATAAAACGATCATGTATGTCTTTTTCTTATGAAAATAATGTTCTGAAAAGTAAACGAGGTTCATTAATTAGTTGAGTTCTTGGAAAAAATTTGGTTTTCATGTAAGCATCATTTTTTTATTCTTTTGGTACAAAAATAATTTAATTTCAAATATATATTTTCATGATGAAAATTACTGGCTATCAAGTTTCTATTCAAGCCCTCTGCAATGAATGTCATTTGCGTGAGAATCGTCAGCACGCCACGAGCAATTCAGAGTTATATATATATATATATGTATGTATATGTGTATATATGTATATGTGTATATATGTATATGTGAATATATGTATATATGTATATGTGTTTATATGTATATGTGTTTATATGTATATATATATGTGTATATATGTATATGTGTTTATATGTATATATATATGTGTATATATGTATATGTGTATATATGTATATGTGTTTATATGTATATGTGTCTATGTGTATATATGTATATGTGTATATATGTATGTATATGTGTATATATGTATATGTGTATATTTGTATATATATATATATATATATATACATATATATATATATATATATATTTCTTTTTTTTTATTTCCAGTCATTTATTTGGTAAATAGGAAAATCACCAGGAGATCTAAAAGAAAAATAACTTGTGCAGACCATCTTAATTAAAATGTAACGGAGTGAATGTCGTAGCAAAAAAAATAAAAAATTTCAAATGAATAATTCAAATTGGAAAATAAAAATTTTACATCGTTTCTGCAATTGTCTAAAACATTATATAATAGTAGCAAAAATCAAAGTAATATCACGAGTATGGAATAATAATAACTAATTAAGTTTACAGGACGCTTTCGAGAATTTTCGAAGGAGGAGAAAATTGTATGAGCCATTACGTTTACATTGCAACAAGGATCCAAGCTGATCGATGGTGAAATATTCGGAGGTTAGATTTTTTCAAATATCTCATCATTATTCTATTTATTTTCGAGAAAATTAGTGAGTCAGATATCTGATCTGCTGACGCCGCTGTTTTCTTCGGCGTTGTTAACATCTTTCATTGCAGATGCATTTGTCTTGGCACTGGGCAGAGTGTTCGAGGAGTTGGTGTTATCTTTATTGAAGATCCATTCACGAATGACAACTGAGGCAGGCCAGTTTGATGCAGTCATCACCTTGCCATACTCCTCGGCCGGGATACACAATCTGAATGAGGAGTATTTTATTTCATCATCATTTTCTACACGTTTAGAGGCCGGATAACAGGAAATCAAATTGTTTCCTCTATTCCCACAGTGTTTTTCGATTTTGGAACTGTCAGGTAGTTTGACATTTCCAATGTAGAAAACTTTTTTTTTAATAATAGCTATCTCAAACAAGAATTACCGCTTTATTTCATATTATCGCAGTGGTGGTTTCGATATGTTGGCAGAAAAATATGCATTCGACAGCGCTCAATGTATAAAGGAACTGTGCAAAGGTGATATAAACTGTTTGATGGGTGATTTCAACCTTCCCAATATCGACTGGATAAATTACTCTGCACCGAACAATTATATCTATGACATCTTTATGGATCTTTTCAGTGAATTGGGTCTTCACCAATTGGTTGATCAACCAACTCGGGGAAACAATATTTTGGACTTGATTCTATGTGATGATGCCAGCTTGCTGGTCGAGTTAGATGTTTCCTGTCCATTTGCTTCAAGTGACCACAACTGTCTCACATTTACAGTCAACTGCGCACTTAGTACCTCATCAGGAGTTGTTTTTAACAATGATACATCTTTCTATGATTTCACCAAGGCTGATTTTGCTTATATGAACAATTGTTTGACGAGTATAAACTGGGATTACCTATTTCAGTATTGTATGGATGTTAACTCCTGCTGGGAACTTTTCGAACAAATAATCAACAATGCTGTGACAACGTATGTCCCCCTACTGAGTCATGCAAATTTCTCACGCAAGTGCACAGTTCCACATTTGCTACGTCAAATCTTACAAAGTCAAACTTCATTTTTGGAAAAAATGGAAAATAACATCTTCCTCTGACGATAGAGAACTCTATTTGTCAATGATGCGTAAATGTTCAAAACTGGCCAATCATTTTAAAAAAACTAATGAACAAAGATTGTTGGCAAAAACTAATGTTCGAAGTTTTTATCGATACGTTAATAAAAAATTGTTTTCTCGACAACAACTTAGCAGTTTGAAATTGAACGACAACAGCGTTACCCATGATCCATTGGTGATGGCTAACACATTCAACAAATATTTTGCCTCAGTGTTCACCAACGACAACAACAGCAACTGCACTTTACTTTGTCGTACCACCAATTCATTAGACGATGTTAGCTTCGCTCCCCAACTAGTGTTCTCAGCTCTACGTAATCTAAAATGTACATCCTCGATGGGACCAGATGGTATTCTGAACATCCTACTAAAGATGTGTGCTTCTAGTCTAGCAGTCCCACTATGTCATATTTTCGATACATCCTTCAAAAATAATATGCTGCCAGCTAAATGGAAAACTGCAATTGTGACTCCCATCCACAAAAAAGGACCAACTAACTACCCAAGCAACTACAGACCAATCTCACTTACATGTTCTTGCTGCCGCATAATGGAAAAAATCATCAAAAAAAAATGTTATCTTACATGTCTAACAATAAATTAATATCTCAATTTCAACATGGTTTTTTGCCTGGGAGATACACCAACACCAACCTTCTACAATTTCTCGGGGATTGGATGTCAATTCGTCAGCAAAGAGAGTGTTGTGACACCGTCTACTTAGATTTTCAAAAAGCCTTCGACTCCGTATCGCACAAAAAACTAATTAGTAAATTACAGTCTTATGGAATTTTAGGAAATTTACCTTCCTGGTTGAAAGACTTTTTATATGAACGTTCTCAGCTTGTTCGGGTTCATGGTAAGTTGTCATCGTCTGTGCCAGTTACTAGTGGTGTTGCACAGGGTAGCGTCCTGGGACCCACCTTATTTTTAATTTATATAAACAACATAGTTGAGTGTATTTCATCTAAACCGGTTTCAATTTTGCTCTTTGCTGACGACATCAAGTTATACTGCTGCTCATCCGATTCAACTCAACTTCAACGAGTAATCAACGATGTAGTTGATTGGAGTATCAAATGGCAGTTACCCCTTTCTCCGGATAAATGTTATTATTGTTCATTTTCCCATTCATCTAGATCTATTAATGTTCCTCATCAGTATTTTATTGGTCAACACGTTTTAAAACCAGCATGTTACTTCAAGGATCTAGGTGTTACAGTTGACAAACTAATTTTAATTTACATATCGACAATATAACTCTCAAAGCTTCCTCACGTGGACGTTTAATAATCAGATGTTTTACCTCTAAAGATCAAAACCTACTCATCAAAGCATTTTGCACATATGTACGTCCTCAATTGGAGTACTGTTCCTCTGTGTGGAACCCCCATTATAAGTACCAAGTGAGAAAAATCGAAAACGTCCAGAGAAGGTTCACGAAATCAAATAGATGCCGTGAAGAGGGGGCTAGTTGTGAGTGATCCCAAAATCTTTGAGGGTTTGTGAAATTTATTTTTATTGATATCATCTTCAACTTTTTTAGCAATTGGCGGTAAAGATATTGATTTGACATTTTTCTTACTGCGCTGAACGAGTGTCATACGATCGTCAGAAACGTTATCGTCAGATTGTAATTCACAATCAGTTTTATTTGTTTTTGACACTAAAATATTTGACCATGAAGTATCGATTGTTTCATTTTTAATGCGGTTAACATTTGTATCGTAGACATTACACGTAGCAAGATTTGTGCGAGAGTTTGTTTCATGCGCGATACTTGAAATAAGATTTGTACAAGTTTTATTTCTATCCAGTATTTCATTCAGCAGGGCAGCCATTTTGTCACCTTTTTCATTTCATTTATTGCCTCCAACATATCATTCGACATCAAATCAGGTAGTTTTTTATATTTAAAATCACAAATGTTGGCAAATGTTGACAAAGATCATTTGTCGACATATATTTTATCAAATCAACAATATCAAGCATTATATCAAACTGTCTGGTTGAAGCTTTTACTTTTCTTTCTTTTTTTATATTATCCAATTCAGAATTCAATGTTTTTTTAGCAACAAGCAATTTTTCATGACTATAAAAATTTGAAACATTATTTTGAAACTTTTTTTCGTCTAATTTATCCATATTGTTCAGAAAATACCACAAAACCTCTGAGACGAATAATTTTTTGGAAGCCATATTTTTCAATCTTACACATACACACACTTAACACACACGCGCGCGCGCACACACACACACACGCGCACACACACATATATATATATATTATTAATATAATTTTATTTTGTAAATCTAATTGGAGTTAATTAATTAATTTAGTTTTTCTTTTAAGTTAATATTTGAGTTTAATATATAATTAGTTTTCTGTTGAACGTGCACGCATACACTCCTATTATTGTTGTTGTTAAAATTTTAGCATAGCCAACCAGGAGAAATGTTTAAAATGTTCAACTAATAAGAGAAAGGATACGAAAGAGAAAGACAAACGAATTAAATGTTACCAGTGCGCTATTACCATTCACACAGTTTGCGCGAATTTACCAGATGAAATTTGTGATATTTTGGAAACAGATAACAATTTACGTTGGTTTTGCGATAAGTGTTCGAGCTTGGGACCGAGTTTGAAGAAATTAACTGACTCTATCGAGTCATATAAAAATGCGGTGACAACAAAATTCAATGAACTGAATGAACTAAATCGGGAAATAAAATCTGCAATTGAAAACATCAATTCATCGGTTAGCGCCAGTGAAGAGAAGTTGAACCAATTCAATCAACCTGACATTCTACGTGGTGAATTAAACAATCTAAAAACTGAAATGAATATGTCGTTCGCGAGCATTGTGAGTCGTGAAGTTAAAAAGAATGTCGAAGTCATTGGAAGCGGGGTTAAGACTGTTCAAAAAACATTGAATGATGTCAGCGACTTGAAGACGGGAGAAAGCAATTTAATAATGGATCGACTAGTTGAGGAGACTACAGGTAATGACAAAATAGCGGTGATGAAAATCTTAAAACATCTGTTAGATGAGGTTGTTGATACAAACATAACGAGGTTGGCAAGACTAGGAAAAAAAGTGACGGTGTGGCCCGACCGCTACTGATATGTTTTGAAGATATTAAAATAAAAAACACCATTGTGAAAAATTTATTCAAAATGAAATCGTTAGATGCTACTCTTCGTCATGTGGGGTTGAATCATGATTTAACGATTGAACAGCGAAAAGAAATCAAAACCCTGACAGATGAGGCAAAGTTGAAGGAAAACTTGGACAAAGAAGGTTTTTTATACAGAGTGAGGGGGCCTGTTGGAAGATGGAAAATTGTCAAATTTCCACCAGCGGAAAAATTAATTTAGATTTGATTTCAGAAAAAAATGGTGATGAAAATATAAATGATTCAGAGAGAAAGACGAGCGGCAGAAAAATCAAGGACTTCGATCAAAAAGACGAAAAACTCATATTAGGTTTGTTGAATATAAGGTCAATTATAAAAAAAATCTGATGATGTGAATGAAATAACTAGAGATAAAATTGATGTTCTTATTTTAACTGAAACCTGGCATAGATCTCACGACGAAATATCTGTTTTATCTGCTAAACCTGCAGGGTACAGTTATGTTGATTACCTTAGACCATATGATGCTAATCATGGAGGATTAATAATTTACATTAGGTCTATTTTTAAATTTAGAAGACTGGAACTACCACAACTAAATACTTTTGAAGCCATCGCAATAAAACTTATATGCAATCGGAACGACTACTTATTCCTGGCCATCTACAGACCTGGGTCTTTGCCTGTCACTCCTATGTTTTTTTAAGGAACTGTCATCTGTTTTGGAGAGTTTGACAATATTAACTTCCAATTTAGTTGTTGCAGGTGATTTTAATGTCCGTGTTGATAGACGTGAAAGCCCGCACACGTTAACTCTGTTTGAAATTTTCGATTTAATTCATATTAGAAATGTTACACTAGACAACAAATTTTAACTTTGTGTCTGCTACTTGAGCAAAATTATATTATCCATATAGAGTTTTTGATGCTGATTTCAAATATGTAATCAAAATTTTTGTAGCACATACAGTTTTTTAGTTATTTGTTTTTTTATTTTTTTTAAATTTTGCTGTATTTAATGTTCAATTTCAAGTTTTTCATACCAAATTTAAATATCTAAATGTTTTTCTTTGTTCTATTTTATTATCTTTGTCTTTTATTCTTTGAATCTATTTTGTTTCCCTTAAATTTTATTAGTCATCTCTTCTTTTTATTCTTTTTTTGTTCAATTTTGTTATATAAATACACTATTCCAGAACTATATTATAAATATACAATTCTAAATTAATTTTAAATTTATCCAGTGATAAAAATGAAGAAATCTAACCGTAGTTGTTTGAATGAACCAGACAATTTTTGTTATATTTGTGGGCAATTTACACCTCGTGATCAGCGAAAAAATTTGTCAAACAGAATAAAGATTGCCTACTACCATTACTTTGGAGTAAAGGTGGCGGATCAAGAAAGAACCTGGGCTCCACATATTTGCTGCAGTGTTTGCTACGTAGGTCTCACTCAATGGTTAAATGGGAAAAGAAAGCAAATACCTTTTGCCATTCGAATGATATGGCGTGA